CGTGTGCCTTGTGAGTGTCAGGTGTGTGTGTGTGTGTGTGTGTGTGTGTTCCATATGACAGGCCGTATCCCCGACAGCTTAAGAAACTGCGTCAACAAGGAGTTCTTTGTCACCACGGCACCCTGGGCCGTTATGGATCAGCCGGGTGTTCACCCTGAGCTCAACGGCGCCGCCTACAGGTAGGGACTGGAGGGGTCTGACAGATACACCCCTTTTTTATTTAATGCTGTTTTAATTCTATTTTGAGATGTTTAAATGCTAGTATTGTTTATATTCTACTCTCTCATTTATACCGTTGTGCAATGCCTTGTTTTGTGTTTTTTTATGCTGCTGCAACGCAAACATTTCCCAATTTGGGATCAATAATGTACCTCTTATTTATCTTATCTTATTTCAGAGACAAACTGCTACCCTGGATTATCCTTTAGTTGTGTTTTTATACCTCAGTACATTTTATATGATGTTTAAGTATTCTGTACAAATGTAGGTGATTTGTTTTAACGTATTCATTCATTATTTGGGTCAAAAACAAAGGGTATTGTGATAAAGTACACAGAATGAGGTAATTAGTGATTAATTGCTATTTCTGTCCCAATTACTTTTATTTGAATGCTAACTTAATGAGAAATTCCTAAAAAAAAACTTGTATATTCCCCTATATTTACTGTTTTATAATATATTTAAACTGGTCAAGTTATTAACAAGTTATTAATGAAGCCCTGCAGTAGTTGGTAGTGCCCCCCCCCCTCCCCCCTGCTAACTGTCCCCTGTAGGAGTAGAAAGGTCTTTCTTTGCCCACCTGCCGGCTCTTCCTGATCTCAGCATGTCCGCCTCCATGTGCTTCTTTTCACGCAGCCAAGTGAACCAAACTGTTTCGGGCATAACAGCCGGTGTCCCCCAAGACAAAATTATTGCCTAGATCAGGAGCAGGTAAATACAACCGTCCGGGGCCACAGCCTCAGTCTGGAGGTCCCGGATAAGACCCTCTCTGATCTGATGTGTGTTCCTTCTAGAATCCCCCAGTACTCACCTGTTTGACTGACTCAGTAGAGATGGATGGCAGAGGAAGCTTTGAGTGTGCAGGAAGCATGACAGAGCTATTCAGGGACAGTTTCATGGAGTCATGCTTCCTGCTTCTTATGGGTTTTTGGGGCATTGTGTTGGATTTCACTTCTCACAACTCTATTGTGTGTTTCCCCTCCTGTTTGGTTGAGTGGTTATTGTACAGAGCCCCCTGGGGGTCAGGGTGGGATTTTATTTCTCAGTTATTCTGCATTACTTTGCAATAGGTTAAGGAGGATAAGAACAGCTATAAACTCACGCTAGTCTTCCTGCCACAGTGGTACAGAAGTGAGCCTAATGCTGCACAGACACAAACATTATACTATATTATAAGAAAAAGATTGGGCTTGTTCTATGGGTCAGAAGGAATGTTAACTGTATTGTGAGGTCCTACCATGAACCTTCTGGGGCTCCATATTATGAGGATTTGCCTTCAAGTTTCCTCACAGAATGTTTAACATAATGGCTCTTTTTTACATCAAAAAAGTCCCAGGATCTAAAATCACTTCATGTCCTACGACATACCATATACGCTGAGGTCTTTTTGACGTACTATACGATGTCTTATTTCTGAATTTCTGACATACTAGAATATGATTTTTTTTCCTTCAAAATACTATAATAAGACATTTTTTCCACATACTATAATATGATTTTTCTTTTTGAAAAACTATAAATATATATGTCGTTTCTCTGATATCTTTGGCTTTGACCCTTTTTTTTTTTTACGACATACTAAAGTTTGTCTTTTTATGACATGTAATGCTTTACATTTTATTTAAGACATATATTACAATTACTTTTCTGCGACTCCCTATACCATGACTTTTTGTTAAACATTTTTAATCCTTTTCCTAAACCAACTAAAAGTAAAACCACCTGAAACGCAGCATAAGACTTCTTACATGTTTCCTGTGTAGTTTCCTTTGGCGAAAAATAGCCAGTAGAATCAGTGTGAGGTTTGCTCAGAGAATCCTTCACGAAGTGTGGGCTATTCCCCCTGTGAGTCCTTCCTCCCCCCTCTTGGATTCACATATCTTTTGCGACACTAACCTCTCACCTTGCCCCCCCTTCAGATACCCGCCGGGCGTAGTTGGAGTGGCTCCGGGTGGCATGCCAGGGGCGTTAGAGGGCATGGTGCCGGGGGGGGTGCCCATCGCCCACTCCCTGCCCTCCGGTACACACCCCTCCCAGGCCCCGTCGCCCAACCAGCCCTCCAAACACGGCGAGACCAGAGAGCACCTCACCGAGCAATAGCAGCAGAAGGGTTCCAACAACCAATCACAACGCAACCGACCAACTGGGACCAAGAGACAGTGAAACGACACACGTGGCTGCCTGTTAAACCAGCCAGCAACTGGGAACAAAGGAAGTGTTCCGGGGGAATTTGTACTTTTAACGTTTTAGTTTTTACTCTCTGTCTCTTGGGGTTCAGTACCGACTTTACTCTTCGATGATGATGATGGGTTTTTTCGTTGTTGTTTTTTTCTTCGGGACATGCCTATGATTGTGGACACAGAGTCCAGTGTTTTTAGCGCTCCGGGATTACCCGACTGAGACTCTGTCCCCGCCCCCTCTCCACCTCAGAGCTCATGGGAAACGTAGGCCCTCATCTCAACACACTCAAGAGAAAAAACTCTGGCATCATGTGCTACTGGACCTTAACCCCCCCCCTTCCCAACCGACCCCTGATCCTCCCCACCTCTCCGACCCTCCTTATGTAACTAATGTGTGTTGTTTAGGCCCCTCATTATGCCTCAGAAGAATTATTTTGTTCTTTCAATCTTCAGTGTGAATGACTAAAAATGGATTAATGACTATATATATTTATCATTCGTCAAACAAAAGGACACGATTTAGTAATCTAGAGTGGGTTTTAACCCTTTCCTGGCAATAAGACACATGACAGCTGCTGCAGTTACAAGATGTCACCACTGGAGGGCACTTCTACACAGCGTGAGGAATTTCTTCTGCACCTGTGAGCGTTAACACCAAAAGTTGCTCCAATATAATCTGTGGGAATTATTTTTGAGCCGCAGTTACACTAAACAAACATTCACTGTACATTTAAATGTAGCTGAGTTTTGAGATTACATGGATTTAGAGGGGAGCTGCCAGCTAAGTATTTCACTTTTGTCTTTAGTTTAGAGTCGGTGTGTCAGTGTGACTCTGATGAAGGACTTTTTTATTTTTTATAAATCATTAAAAAAAAGACTAAAGTTTGGCGTGACTGACTGCATCCGATTCTTCTGCTGAATGGACGGATATTACAGATATGAACCGAGTGGCATCGGTGCACAGATGAGACCACGCTCCCTTCTTTGAGCACATTTCACACTGAAGACAGGAAAGGGTTAAAGCAAACTTCATTTCTTAATGACTCAGGAAAACACTTTTTTGCTGATATTGTTTATTCCCAGAATTTTGTCTTTGAGGGAAAAAAAAAAAAGATGAGACTAAATGTGGTTAGTCTGGATATTCCTCCCCCCCCCCTCTCTCCATTGTGGTATTTTTATATACAAGGCGCATCCCTGGTTTTGGTGTTAAAGAGTTTTGAAGAGTCCTGTTAGATTTGTATTGCCTAGTTAAATGTTCCTATAACCATAGTCCTATGTGATCCACCCCCCCCCCCTTCCCCTCTTCTTATATTTTCTTTGTTCTATTGAAGGCCAGGTTCTTTCGGGCGTCCTCTCTGTAAGAGCAATAGCAGAAACTCCTACTTAGTGTTCCAACAATAGCAAGAGGCAGCCAGCAGTATGTTTTTGTTTTTAGTGTGAGTATTTGTATTTGTTTCTTGTACAAGGTGAACATTTAGCATTCAGTGCAGTTCAAATAAAAGATGATTCTGAGAACCAGCTGTCTGTACCAGAATGATTTTGAACACTTTATGTCCTGTATACTTAAGAAGAGAATATCCTGATAATGTGTTCCTTTAACAAACTCTTTACAAGATGGATTCATCTTTATTGTTTTATCCTTTGTCACAGGGGGGCAACAACATCAGTCCCAATAAGAAAGAAATGCAGCAAGTGTGACACCATCCGGATGATTAAATAAAAAACCAACAAAGGGTTGGGTCTCACGGGTAAAATGTAATCTTTTAAGGCTGATAACTACCTACATTTGAGTCCTTTTGTTTATTAAAAGCTCACTGTAGCTCTCGTTGTTTACTGAGAAATGAGCTTTCGACTTCTTTCATTAATTTGGACTATATTAGACATTTTAAAAACATGTCCATCCATCAGAGTATGTTTGAGTTATTTCAGTTACAGGCAAGAAGAAACCAACAAGGGCAACAAAGAGGATGCAAGTGAGTCAAATTTAATATGAATGCACTCTATAGAAAGAGGCAGAGTGTTTGGTTTTCTTTTCCCCACCGGCATCACCACCACCCACTCTAACATGACAAAGAGCTACTAAATCACACGTAAAAATGTCAGTAAACTTGTACGGCACAGAATGTAGGTTTTCATCTGTGCAAAATAAAATACTTCAAGACTGAACGGAACACGGATAAAACGGAGCGGAACAAAAAAAGGTATCGCCTCCGCACGCTTAATCTCCTAAACAAATAAATAAATCCAAAAACATCAGAAGGGGTTTGCAGAGGGATCAGAAGAAAGAAAAACAGGTGCTCTTTAAACCTCAACATACACACAGGCAGTTCTGTAAATGAAACGTCTCTTCTAGTGCAGCTTCAGGATTCCCTTAAATACAGTTTCTATATGTCTTAGTATTTCTGTCAGGTGTGATTAGAACTTTGATAACAAACAAGGAGAACTCTTACAGGCTAACTAAGTGGACTTGATGTGCTTTCATAGGAGCAGTAATTAGGATTCTGTTTCTCGGTGCTGGTACCTCTTCTTCTTTTGTTTTCCACCACCGAGCTCACACATCACATGCATTATTACAAGTTCAAGATTTACATGTGGGAGAAAGAAAGAAAAAAACAGATAGTAAGGTAGGAACTCTCCCAGAGCCTACAGTGTCCAGTCTCAGATTAAAGAGCTGTGTTCCTCCTCGTCTTCGTCCTCCTCTTCCTCTCCGTCGGACAGAGAGGCACAGGGGCGGATCTGGCGGTATCTGTCCAGCCACTTCTCCACCATCTGGGTGACCAGAGGGTGGTTACGCCGGCGAGAGCTCTTCTGCATGGCGGCCAGCATCCCTCCTTCTGTCACGCAGCAGTCCAGCCACTCCCTCAGCAGCTTCTCCTGCTGCTCCTCGTTGCCCATCTGAGGCACACACACACAGAAACACACACACACAGAAACACACACACACACACACACACACACACACACACACAGACACACACACGCAGATCATTTGTTAGGACATCTTTAAACTGGTGATCACAGTCACTGAGGGCTGGGAACGATTTGTGGTAACCTGAAACCATAAGCTGTACATAATGCTTATTGTTTTTATTCTGTTTTTGAAAGCAACTTTTATCCATAAATGTTAAAGGAGCACATTGGTTTGAATATCGGATTTGATATCCACAACTATGCTTTGTTTTCTGCCGGATTAAAACACTGACTGCTGTCATTCACAGTAAACAAGGTGACTCGCAAGTAAGAATAAAACAAATCAGCAGCTATTCATGCTTTCATTAACACGTGTAGTATCTGTTCAAATGTTCCTATACTATGTACTGTGACCTAAGATTTTCATCGTCATAACTACACTGTAGCTATGTACGTATGACCAATGAAAGCCTTGAACCTTGAATATACTTTTAAAATAGTAGAACACCAAATTATTTTGTGGTAGAAAATACACATTAGGATTGCATATAATACAAAATATACTTCATTTCAAGTCATACAATGTCACATAGCGCATCAGTCTCTACCTCTTGAGCAGACAGGAAGTGGACGTGCAGCAGCTTCCTCTCGCTGTCCACCAGCGGCAGCAGCGTTACCGTGACGTCGTCGTCGGTGTTGAGGTTGGCGCCCGCACCGCGATTGTCGTAGCCGTCGTTCTCCATGGCCACCAGGGCCGAGAAGTGGCCCCGCGTGTATCCCAGGGCGATGGGGCTCTTCCAGCAGAAGCTCTGCTCCCATAGCAGAGGCAGATACACACCTATACACACACAGAAACACACACACAGCAGGTCAGAGGCAGGTATCTAAACAGTGAGCTCTCTCTGTGACTATGTGGATGTCAGAGCTCATCTGACCCGAGATCAGAAGAGGCTGCGCTTCATCTGACTGGAAACAACCGGGGCATTGAGAGCAGGGGAGCCGCTGTGTGCTGGTGCTCAGCCTCTGCTGCTCAGAACACACACTACACACACTATGCAATGTGGACTAGAGCAAGGGTTTTCAAAGTGTGGGTAGGTGAGCCTCCCCTCAGAGAACATAAGATCAGCCGCGCCCCCCGTCCCAATTATTATTGCTGTTATTATTATTATTGTTGTTGTTGCTATAATGCAGGGGTATTCAATTGCATTTCAAAGAGGTCCAGTAAGAGAAAATGTAATTAAATGCTCTGTTTTCGCTGTCTACCTTCCGCCATTTGAAATTACTCCGACTGTTTCTCTCCTCTTGTCTCGTCTCTGTGTGTGTGTTTGAATCTATCGTGCTGACTGCACCGATTTGATTGGCTGAGTAGCGTCACCTCCTTAAAACATTAAACAATAACTTTTTTAAACCTTTTTATTTTTATGTTTTAAACATATTGTATAAAACTCCCCCACTACTTGGACTATTCCTTGCACCCCTCTAGAATAAGCCTGAATGGTCTCAACCATATTGCATCAGTAACGTGCACTTGTTATTATAACAAGATCGCAAGGACGGTGGTAGCGATCGGAAAATTGAGTGTTGTTCAGTTTGTGTGTTGTGGAACATGCGTGTCCGTGCATGAAAATATACCACACACCCAATTACAATTGCATGTTCAATTCACTACCCTGGAAGTTAATACAGTTGTTAAAGTTGGAACAGCCTGTGGACAGCCGTTCTTCCTTGCATGTCCGTCGCCGACACCTTCTTACAGAGGACAGGCACATCTAGCTGCAGCACGACCCGTATATTTCCGCACGCCGTGTTCTCAAGAAGACATCTCCTTCTTCAACCTTGAGTCACGTGATGGACGGCTTATCAACCTATGAGGCACGCTGACCGAGCTTCACTGATGACGCTCATCCTGTTCGGGGTAGCATTCTCTTATTACAATCACCCTTACTTTAGTGGGAACGAATGACAGTCCTGCGTTTTATGCACAGCGGAATAAATGCAGATCATACTCTGGTTGCAGCCTTTACGCCGGTACTTGCTTTTGATCAAAGATCAATGCGGAAACCTGCACTCACAGCAGGTAGGTGGAGGGAGGGACAATGAGCACCTTTTACAGCCTTTTTTGGCGAGGTGGAGGGAAAGTCGGTCTCCACAGACAGCCAAGTGGGCAAGTGTCACTTTACTCGTCTTTTTTCTCGTTTTGCTGTGTCATCACGGCTTCGCCTCCCTTC